CATGGCGTGCGCTGGGCGTCAGAACACACACACACACACACCACACACAAAATAATAATAAAAATGCAACACGGTCGGACCGAATTCGTTGGCCCTGGACATCGAAGAGGACGTCCCACGCGTGTTCGTCACCGCCGCGTTCCTCCGAGGGCAGATCGCCCACCACGATCAGAGAGTCGCTGAGCGGCTCGCCAGGGATCACCGGATCCTCGATCGTGAACTGCACATCTGTGACCACAACGCATCAGACAACCGTGTGTGTGCCGTGTGTGCATGCGAGTGTGTGTGCGTGTGTGTGTGTGTGTGTGTGTGCATGCGGCGTGTGTGGCGTGTGCGTACCGCAGTCCTTGACGATGTGATGGAGGACTGAGCGGCCTTCGGCGTCGATGCGCGTGGGATCGGCGCCCTTCTCGAGGAGCGACTTGATGGCGCTCTTCTTGCGAATGTCGGCCGCGAAGTGGAGCGGCGTGTACTGGCCGCAGGCGGGCAGCGTGGCGATGTTGGGGTCGGCCCCGTTGTTGAGTAGGATCTCGACAAAGTCCTCGTTGTGCCACACGGCGTAGTGGAGCGGCGCGGCGCCGGTGATGTCGCGCGCGTTGATGTCGGCGCCCTTCTCCCGCAGGAAACTGATCAGCTCGGCCGACATTCGCAAGCGCTTCGGCCGCGCGACGTGGTAGTTCTTCGGCCTGGGGCCAATGGCGTCAGTGTGCGCACGACATTGGCACACGACACACGACACGACACACACACGACACACACGACACGTACCGTGCGGCCCAGTGCATGGGCGTGCAGCCTTCGGAGTCGCGCGCGTTGGGGTCTGCGCCGGCGTCGACCAGCAAGCGGGCACTGGCCGCGTCGGGCTTCTCAGCTTGGAGGTGCAGCGGAGTCCACCCGTCGATGGAGGCGGCCTTGGCATCGAGCCCGTTGGCCAGCAGGTACTCGATGAGCTTCTTCTTCCTGCAGAAAAGACACGCTCGCACGACGATGAGTCATGTGTGTGTGTGTGTGTGTGTGCCTGTGGTGTGTGTGTGTGCCTGTGGTGTGTGTGTGTGTGTGTGTGAACGCACTTCTCCACGTGTTGCTCCCAGTCCTTCTGCACGGGGGCCTTTTGCTTGATAAACGCAAAGTGTCGCGCCACCGCCGTACTCGGGATCATTTCGAACTTGACCAGCAGCTGGATCGATTCGTCGTCGCCCCACATGAAGCCTGCAATAATAATCATAATAATAACAATAAGCGGTGAGTCGTTGAGGGTACAAAAGGTACAAAAAAGGGGGAAAAGCTGAAAAGATAATTTCTCGCGAGTCTAGGGGTTTTGTTTGGGTACCGGCGTCGGGATCGGTGAGGGTCGACATCTTTGCGAACTTGCGCCAGCCCCAGCCGCTGCTCCGTCGCTCGAAGCGGTTGCCCGATTCTGAAGAATATCAGAATCAGCACTTCTAGATTCCATACTTTCTGTTCACCGTGTCTGTGTGTGTGTGTGTATGTGTGTGTCGCGTGCCGTGTGCTGTAGACAACATCAATGAGAGCGGAGGGGCGGTACCCATTGAAATAGACTTGTACTGGTCCTTGTTTTGGATGCTGATGGCGTAGTCGGCAAACACGCCCCAGTTCGCGTCGTCGTTATCCGAATCGGCGTCGTCATCCGAGGCCTTTTTGTTTCAACATAGATGAGCCGAGCCATAAGTCAGAGAGTGATCAGACGTCTATACGACTACGAGACTGCCAGTACGACGAGCGAGCGAGCGGCCAACTGAGACGTACCTTAGGCGAAACGTGCCGCACCTCGAAAAAGAGCGAAATGTGTCCATCGAGCTGACCATCGAAGCACTTGCGCGCCTTGATGAACCTGCAATCCGCGTAAGTCAGAATAAATTAGATTTACAAAATTTGAATAACCAAAATAAAAGGAAATAAGGAAGTGCTGAATTAATATTAATATAAATAAAAATAAATAAATGAATAAAAATAAATGAATAAAAATAATGGTACCATTGGAAGCCGTGGTACTCGACGGGGTCGGAGAGGACCTGGGTGTCCTCAGCTTCCACGAAGCTCTTGAACTGGTGGATGCGCAGCACGAACTGCCGCGAGCGGTCGAGGAGGGCCAACTGCTCGATCTTGTCTCCCGCTGCATGCACCCATCAAATCCAAACATACAAAACAACTCAGAGTCTGGTCAGTGCCTCCGTCGTCAACGCAAAGGCCTTTGTATGGGGGGAGGCTGGTACCGAAGGGAGTGAGCGGGGCCTCATCCAGTACGCGCCCGATCGTGCGCGAGAGGTAGACGCTCCGCTCCGTCGTGCCATCGGCTGATGACACACAGACCCCAGTGAGTGTGTCGTGTGCCGTGCGTGTTGCGGTGTGTGTATGTGTGTGTGTGTGCGTGTGCGGTGGCGTGTGCGGTGTGCGCGTGTCGTGTGGTGGAGGAGGGACGCCTACATGCGGCCCAGTGGAGGGCGGTGCGCTTGCGGAGATCTTCGATGTGGAGCGGCACGCCCATGGACACGAGCTTGTGCACCAGCCCGATGTGTCCGCCGGCCACCGCGGCATGGAGCGGCATGAGGCCGTTCGCGTCCTTGCACGTAGTCGGCACGCCCCGCGACACGAGCTCGCCGAAGAGACGCTCATTTCCTGTTTCATATGCAACAGTGTTACAAGGTAATGTACTAATTATCGCCCAATGGGGTGGCGGGGAGGTTAAACCTGAGCGAATGGCGTAGTGGATGGGCGACAGGTTGGACAGCTCCTCGCTGATGTCGATCTCGGCGCCGTGGCGAATCAACAGCTCCGCGGCCTCCGAGTGGTCGCTCATGGTCGCCATGTGCAACGCTGGTTTGTGTGCCCAATGTGTGTCATGTCGTCAAAAGAAGCACACACACACACACACACCACACGCACATACACACACACATACACACACAGGGGCAAGCATGCGTACGTGTGTTGCCCTTGCTGTCGGCACTGTCGATGTTGGCGCCGCGCTTGATCAGCAACTCCATCACCTTCAGCATGCCTCGCAGTGCCGCGTAGTGCAACGCTGTCGATCCGCTCCTGGACACGCTAGTCAGCCTCTTGGACGATTGTGTGTGTGTGTGTGTGTGGTGATGTGTGTGTGTGTGTCGTTGTGCCCTAATTCATCCCCCCTCCAGATAGATACATCTACAATTGCTGTGTGTGTTGATGCGAACCTGTCGGTGGCGTAGATGTTGGAGCCCGCGCGAATGAGGAAGAGTGCGCACATGCTGTGTCCGCCCTGGGCAGCCTCCAACAGTGCGGTGCTCTGGGTGAAGGTCCGCGTGCTCAGCGCCCGCTTGCCGTGGGGGATCGACACCAGGTACTTACACACATCCGTAAAGCCGTGGGTCGCAGCCTGGAATGTGCCGCACATTCCACAGCAAACAAAAAAAAAGAGAAATTATAGAGTAAGAAAAGAACAGAAAGAGCGAAGCGACGAAAAAAGAACGAAGCGAAGTGTGGCGTTTACCTCGTGGAGGGGCAGACGCTTGCGCATGTCGGCCACGCTCCACTTGGCCCCGTACTCGACCAGCAGCTTGCAGCACTCGATGTGACCGCCGTAGGCCGCCGAGTGCAGCGGGGTGCGGCCCCGGGAATCGCGCAGGTCCGGGTCGCCGCCGCACTCGCTCAGGTAGTAGTGGAGGATATCGTAGCGCCCGCAGTTGGCCGTCTCGTGCAGCGCCGATTGCTGATCCATCGACAGCGTCTGATTCGTGTCGACCGGTCAGCAAGTTGGTTGGGTATCACGACGCACATGGCATGACACGCACGACACACGGCCACATACCTGAGAGGCAGAGACGAGGTTGGGGTCGGCGCCCATGGCAACAGCGATCTTGGCGCATTCGAGGCTTCCTCGAACTGTGGCCAGTTAATTAGGACCCTTTTTTTTATCCACCGGTTGAACCAAGAGCAGCACAGCACAGCACAGCACAGCACAGCACAGCACAGCACAGCACAGCACAGCACAGCACAGCACAGCACAGCACAGCACAGCACAGCACAGCACAGCACAGCACAGCACGTACTGGACGCAAGCAGAGGTCGTCGCTTGATCTCGGCCGGTGTGAGCTTGCTGAGCATCACCTTGAAGCTCTGATGACGTTCATTAGTTGTGTGTCGTGTGTCGTGTGTGTGTCGTGTGTGTCGTGTGGCGCGGAGGTACCTTGGCGTGACCGTAGGTGGTCACAGCGGAGAGGGCACTGGGCGTCGGGGTGGCTCCGTGCTTGAGCAGCAGCTCCACGAGGTCGGGTACGTCGCCCACGCCGTAGATGATGTCGTCAGGATCTTCTCCAGACGCTTGGGCGCCACGCCCGTGCGGATCACCTACCACAACAGGCAGCCAATCGAATTTCAATCCTAAGCTCAATCTTTGAATCCAAACAATACCACCCACCACCAACACCCGGCCGCGTACCTGGTTGACCAGGAAATCGAGGCACGCGGAGCACTTGGCCTTCTTGGGGAGCGAGCCGAAGCAGCTCTTGTCCACATGGCCGCTGGCATTCAACAGTAGCTCGACACAGGGAAGCGACCCTTTCTGTTCATTCATTCCACCGCGTCAGTCAGTGTTACATTCCAAAGATTCCAGAAATGCGCACTTGGCTTCACTTGGCAGGTCTGCGCACCTTGGCGGCGAGACCGAGGGCGCTTATGGTGCTGGTGTCCTTGGCCATCAGCAGGTTGTCGCCTTCGCCGTCCGCACTGTCTTCCGTGAACGCTGCCAGCGTTATACAACAATGAGCGGGGGTCAGTTAGTATTTTTCCTGGGAGAGAGCCGTGTGCGCGACGTCCGGTACCGATTGGCGCCTGCTGGAATCGGTCGATGAGCAGCTTGAGCACATCATGGTGTCCTCGCACCGCAGCCCTGCGCATTGCACCACACACACACACACACACACAGGTCAGACGCGCAAGTAGGGCGGCTGATGGGGTTCTCAGCAGAGCGCTGCGGTACCAATGGAAGGCGGTACGCTTCTGGATGTCTTTCACACCCAGCGTGGCGCCAGAGTCGAGCAGCAGAATGAGGCACTCCACGTTGCCGGCGAAGGCGGCCAAATGCAGGGGCGTGAGCCCGTCCTTCAGGCGCACATCGAGCGGACCGTCCTGAATCTCCTCCGCCTCTGCTCGTGGCAGTGTGTGTGCGGTGAGCGTGCCTATCTGCGTGTGCGGTGGTGCGTGTGCGTGTGCAGTAGTGCGGGTTGGCCATACCTTGCTTGTCGTCTTCTTCCTTCTTCTTGGCGCTGTCCACCTCCATTTTGTCCTTCATTGCGCTCTGCAGCGCTGCTTTCTTCTTCTCGGCCAGGCTCTTCTGCTCCTGCTCGGCGAGGTACTCGCGCTTGCGCTCTTCGATGCGCGCGGCCAGCGCCGCGGCGTCGCCCGCCAGAGCCAGGTAGTGGAGGCGGTCCAGTTCGTTGGCCTCCCACCGCTTGGCGAACTCGCTCTTCTCGATCTCCCACTCGAGGGTGTCCTTGATCTTTTCCTTCTCCTTTTCCCACTCTTCTCTCTTGCGTTTCTCGTCGTCGGTTTCGGCGGTGCCGCGCTTCTGCTCGAGGAAGGTGAGCTCGGCCAGCGCGATCTTTCCAGCCAAGTCGCACTTCTTTTCTTGCATGGTCTAATCACAAAAAGACATTAGCCTCTGTGTCGTGTGTCGTGTGTCGTGTGGTTGTGTGTGTGTGTGTGTGGTGTTACCCGATAGATGGGCGTGATTCGTTCAGAGATGTGGTTCCGCGCGCCAGACGCGAGCAACACTTCGGCCACGTCGTCGCTGTACAGTCCACACGCCGCATACTGCACACGCCGAAGCGGCCCATTAGTACATTACTTTCGTATTCGTATATAGCTTGAATGCCAAATGGGAAGGTAGAGGGGCGGCACGCACCAGCGGAGTGGTGTCGTATTTGTTCGGCAGGTTGACGTCGGCCCCGTGCTTGATGAGTGCCGCGACACAGTGCGTGTGTCCATTTTTCACGGCCTACGTTGCGGGACGAGTAATGGTTAGAATTTGAGTAGAATATATTTAAAAATAAATAGATAAATATTAACGATAATAATACTAATGATAAGAATAATGAAAAGACGCACCTTGGAGAGGGGCGTAGCCGCATAGCTCTTGGATTTGATGTCGACCTCAGCGCCTTTTTGGCACAGCAATTCGATGCTGTCCACACAACCCAGCCACGCGGCCTTGTGCAACGCTGACACAGTGCCACCACCGTGTCAGAGCAGAGCACAATCGGAAGTAGTGCGGCAGAGCTACTGGGGGAAAATACCTGATTCGCCGTCCTTGGTGCTTTGGCAGTTGACGCTGGCGCCCTTTTCCAGGAGATACGAAATCACGTCCGTGTGATCGTACCCTGGCCGAACAACGTCGTCAGATTGATGGTGGTGATGACGATAACGATGACGATGGTGACAATGGTGAGTGAGAGAGAGAGAATGAGTACCGGCGGCAAGGGACAGGGGGAAGTCGCCGTCCTTGTCCTGCGGGTTGATGTCGGCTCCGGCTTCCACCAGCAGGCGCACGCTCTCCAGATTGCCTTGCACGCACGCGTAGTGAAGTGGTGCTGGACAGTAGCGTAAACAACAACAGAGTGTTAACCCAGGCGGCAGCAACGAGTAGTGGGTAGTGCGGGAACAGTGGGGGAAAGGCGCACTGGTTCTAGAATCCGCGGTCTTGGCCTTGACCGACGCGCCGTACTTCAGCAGCAGCTCCACACACGCAGAGTGACCTACAATTGGACACGCGTGTGAAGTTAAAGTTCACGCGCGTGCGTGTGCGGTGGTGGTGAGTGTTGTGTCGCATCGCGCGTACCATAGTAGGCGGCGACGTGGAGGGGGGTCTCTTCGGTCATGTTGTCGGCATTGACGTCCAGCAGCTGCGGCGGAGGTTTCACCTTCGTCTCGTGTTCTTCTTTTTCTTCTTCCTTCTCCATTTCCTTTCCTTTTCCTTCTCCTCTGCGCCTCCCTCCACCTGTCCGATGATGGCGACGTCCACCTCTTCTCCTTTTTCCTTCTTTTCTTTTTCTTTTTCTTCTTTCGTCTTCGCGTCTTCCGCGTCCTTCTGTCGCTTCAGCTCCTGCTGCTGTTCCAAGGCGCGGCGCGCCAGCTGCTGCTCCTCGGTGCCGTTGAGCAGCTCTAGGATGCGCCTGGCCGTCTCCGTGTGCCCGTTCGCCACCGCCAAATGCAGGAACGTGTTGCCGTCCGCATTCCTGTCATACCACACACACACATACACACACGCTTCAGCCAAGCAATGCGTCGCTGAGCGCGTCGTGGGATGCGTACTTGAGGTAGCGAGACAAGTAGAGCGAGTCCTTCATCCTCCGCCGCCGGTGCCTCTCGCGCTTGGCCTTGTTCTTGAGCGCGGCAGCTTCGACCATTTCGGCCAACACCTCGGCAGGGGTGGCGTCTTCCTTGGTTGTGGCGCCCGCGGCCTCTTCGCCCTCCTTTTTGTTCTCCTCGGCTTCTTCCTCCTCTTCCTCTTCGTCCCACTCGTCGTCATCCGATTCCAGGAACTCTTCGACATCGTCGTCGTCTTCCAGCGCCACAATGTCTGCATGGACGCAGACTGTAAGAACGAAGAAGGAAAAAGAACGAAGAAGAACGAAGAAGGATTGTACTCTTGCCGAAGGAAGTCTCCAGAAGGAAGAGTACTACGTCAGTGTGTCCGCGGGCGGCGGCCAGATGAAGCGGCGTGGAGTCCTTGAATATGATCCACGAGTTGTTGTCGCGCGCCAGAATGGACGACTCTTGCTGCACACGACCACACACACAACACACAACACACACGACACACACAACACACACCATCGTGGAGGGATGAGCAGCCAGAAACACGAAGCTGAAGAGCCGTGTCGCCGTGAGTACTGTACCCCGACCAGGTACTGGACTGCCGCCAGGTGGCCGTGCATGGCGGCCAAGTGGAGCGGCGTGCGGCCGCAGTCGTCCGTCGACTGGAGCACGGCGCCGGCCGAGAACAGCAGCTTGATCATGTCGCAGTCGCCCCTAGTGTCGCATTGCATGGCCATACGAGCTCAGTTTAAGTCCTGTGGCGTGAAGTCCACGAATGCGCGCTTTAGCTCAGTGGTCGGCGTACGTGATGGCGGCAAGGTGAAGTGCAGTGCGCTGGTAGGCGTCCGTGGCCTGGACATCGGCCTTGCCCTCCTCGAGCAGCATGCGGGCCACGTCAACCAGGCCCAGAAACGAGGCCTCGTGCAGAGCCGTAAAGCCTGGGCGCAAACTGGGTCAGCCCACGATACACACGACACGCACATGGAACACACACGACGAAAGAAGAGTGTACCAGTTGCAAGCACGTGCTTGAAGGGTGAGGTGAGGCCGAACACGGTGTCGTATTGCAGTGGCCGCCACGACGCGAGGAAAGAAGCCGACGGGCTCGGCGATGAGGAAGTTGATGATGACGATGACGATGACGCTGAAGAGGATGAAGTCGTCGTAGTCGTGGTGGGCTCCAGCTCCATGCTGGAGGAAGAAGACGATGTGGCAGTCGTGGGTGCGGAGGGTGGGTACTTGAACGGTTCACCGCCAAAGTTGACGGTGCATCGGACCTGCGTCTCGATGGAGACGCCGGCGTAGAGGCCGTCGCGCAGCTCGACGTCGCTGAACGCCACACCCATGTACTTGCCGTTGAGCCAGTACATGATCTCCTTTCTGTCAGCGTCCAGCCCACAGCCCAAAATGTCACCTGTACACAGGGGAGTCAGCACGACATGCACACACGGCACGCACACACACGCACCATCGCACAGGACACATATGATGGGTGGATCTAAGTACCAGGCTTCCATTTGTCGCCCCACGGCCAGAAGCCTCGCCTGTGCCACTTGAGTCGGCGGTAACCATCGAACGCATACGAGTACTTGTCGTCGCCAACGCCTGTTTCCATACACAGAACACAGTGGCGTCAGCAATAAGAAGGTGTCGTTGGTCGTGTGGTTGTGTGGTGCGTGTGCGTGTGTGCGCGCGCGCGCGCGTGTGCGTGTTCACTATTGATGCGAAGGAACGGATTTGCACACCTTCCGAGCGTGTGAACTTGGTGTCCTTCGAAGACCACCCGATCTGGTAGAGGTTCTCGGTGCCGATCACCACCTCGTAGAACCAGCAGCCGGACGTGACCTTGACATTGCTCCGCACGGAGCCCATGGTGCCCAGCAAGTACGTGAGCCTTGCCGAGTTGTACACCTACGACCACCCCACCACCCAATTGTATACAATGAGACAATGCAGAACACACGACACACACGACACACAGGCGATAGCACGCGGGCGCACCTGCAGGCCGTCCTTGGATATCTTGGTCTCGTTGGACTTGTCGTGCTCGTTCATCCGCACTCGCTCGGGTCCCACACGGCCCTCCACCGTCGGCGCACGGAAGGCGACGTCGCCTGAGGCGCCCTCAGCCGCTTCCTTGCCTGCGAAAAAAATAAGAAATAAAAGAAAATAAGAAAATAAATTTTTATATTTCTTGGTGCACCTTCTTCGTCCATGGCGTCGACTGGAGGCGGCGCGGCAGCTGCGATTGCGGCGTTTGGGTCCGCGCCACTGCGCAACAGCAATCGAATCGTCTGCTTCGCTTCTTCGGCCTTTTCCTTCTTCTGATGGAAACAGCGCCAAATCGCCCAGTGTAGCGGCGTGCAGCCCTTGGCGTCCAGTTCATCCATCATCTTCGTGTTGTCTTGTACAAACGTCTCAGAGACACTGCGATGCATCTCCACCGAATTGAGGGGATCTGCATCGAGGCTCGTCCGCTCCATTCGCTGCAGAAATAAATTGCTGGAAAAATCTTTGTCGACAACTATAAGGCCTCATTTCTCTGGCCATTTCTTTTCTTTTTCCTTCTGACTCAGTTGGTGGCCTGGCAGGTTGGCGACTTGGTGGTGTGAAGCTGTTGGCATCTCAATCACACTCACTGGTAGATGGCCACAACACGCCTGAACCTACAAGCAAGTTCATGTCTTGTGCTGCTGGGTTCTTGTTGGGAGGCGAGAGATCATCTATCTGCGAATCTGGTCTTCGCTGAATTGGTCTTGCGCGGAAAGGCTGAGAGCCCTTGTCGTTGCAAATCTGATCTTCATCTTCACAGTAGCGAAAGAAGATGGGAAACGAAGAGAGTGCGCCGGGAAGGCAGGAGCGCCTGCCGCGCGTGTCGGAGGAGGAATATGAGCGGCTCGAGGGTGCGCGCTACGTCATCTTTCCGCACCTTGTCGGCCCGTCGTCGTCAGCCGAAGAAGATGAGAGGCAAGATGAGACAAAAGATGAAGGCAAAGATAAACCACAACAACAACAAGCTGTTGTAGCACATGACCAAGGGCACGCTAATGGTGAACACGAAGCAGGAGGAGAAGATGAAGATGAAGAGAAAGCTGGTGCTCTGCAAAAAGTGCGGTTTGAAACCGTAGCGCCTCCCCCTGCTCCTCCTCGAGCCGCCGCCCCGTCGTGGCAGCACATGGTCGACGTGCTGCAGCGCGACATCACCGACCTCGCCGCCTTCCACCAGGGTACGCTACGCTACACCACTACGCCTTCCTTGCGAGGTGGCCGATTGACCGAAGGCGTTTGTGGCGTGCGTGCGGTGTGTGCGGTGCGGCGTGTGTGCGGTGTGGTGTGTGCGGTGTGTGCGGTGTGCAGCGCTGGTGGAGATGAGGACGGGTCCGCCGCCGCTGGTGGCGGCCTTCAAGGGCATCTTTGCCCAGGAACCGGCGTTCGAGCCGCGCTTCTTCTCCGCCATCCTCCCCACCATCCAGCGACTCGCCCTCAGGTACGCCGCGCGACACCAAAGCGCACACGCACTCACCGCACACGCCGCACTCACCGCACTCGTCGCACGCACTGACTGACTTTGGGACGGCAGGCTGCCCGAGGTGTTCCCCGCGGAGCACAGGCTGCCGCTGCTGGTGCCAAACCAGGACGGCGAAGTCACACTCACCCAGGTACGCAGGCCCTCACAACGTGTCTACGCGTGTGCGCGTGCGCTCACCGACTGCGTGTGCGGTGGTGTGTGCGGTGTGTGTGTGTGTTTCTGCGGTGTGTGTGCGTGTGTGTGTGCGGTGTGCAGGAACAATGCGCGGTGGTGTTGGCTTCGGGCTTCATGGGCACGTTGTGGGTGCACCCGTCGGTGCGGTCGCGGTTCAGGTTCCCGGGCTTCAAGATCCAGGACCTCTTCACCCACAAGCAGGGACCCTCCGTCGCCATCCTCCGCATGGTCCTCCACTACTTTGAGCGCCTCAACATCCAAAGTATGCACCGCACACGCCGCACGCACACGCCGCACGCGCTCGTCGCACGCACGCGCCGCACGCACACGCCGCACACGCAGAGCTGACTGGGGGGGGGTACTATAGTGCCGCAGGGCAAGGTGACGTTCCGTCGACAGGTGCTGACGGCTCCACCCGACTGGGCCAACAGCACCAAGCCCCTCGTGCCCGCCCGGGTCAGCAACCAGGGTACTATTTATATACGACCCGACCCACCCATGCATTCACCGCACACACGCGTGTTTTCAAAAATTAACTGATCGTCTTCGCTCGTGTGTCGTGTGTCGTGTGTCGTGTGTCGTGTGTCGTGTGTCGTGTGTCGTGTGTCGTGTGTCGTGTGTCGTGTGTCGTGTGTCTCAGGCAAGATCGAGGATTCTGACACGACGTTCCACGCCGACTTCGCGAACCAGTACATCGGCGGCGGTGTCCTCCACGGCGTACGGCCCTCTTGCGTGTGTGAGACAAAAAAAAGGAGAGTTGTGGAAGGAAGCCATCGACGCTGACTTTTAAACGTTCTCTCACACGACCACAGGGCTGCGTCCAAGAGGAGATCCTGTTTGCCATCAAGCCCGAATGCCTCGTTTCCATGTGCGCGCACTCGTGTCCGCTCTCACCGCTCTCTTCGTTTACCAACTAACACGCCGCACACACGCACGACCGCACACGCACGACCGCACACGCACACGCTCAGGCTGTTCTGCGCCAAGATGGGCAACAATGAGGCGATCTTCATCACGGGCGCGGAGCGCTTCAGCGACTACCGGGGCTACGGCCACGGTCTGGCCTTCGGCGGCAACTACGTCGACCGCACGCCGCGGGACGACCAGGGCCGCATCGTGACCACCATCGTCGCCATCGACGCCGTCGTCGCCTTCGGCGGCGTCCAGTGGCAGGAGGGGGCAATCGTGCGGGACCTCAACAAGGTCTACTGCGGGTGCTGGGAGCCCCAGCGCCAGCCCGGCCAGGTCCTCCCCGCCTTTGCCACCGGCAACTGGGGCTGCGGTGGTACGCACGCGCTGCACGCACCGCACACACGCGACATGACACGACACGCACTGACATGTGCGTATGCAGCGTTCGGCGGGGACAAGTCGTTGAAGGTGCTGCAGCAGATGATGGCCGCGGCCGAGGCGGATCGCGAGGTGCTCTACCACACGTTCGGCGAGAAGTACGGCGACAGGTCCCTCAAGGAGTGGATCACCCTCGTCAACGAACTCATCCTCAAGCACCACCCCACCGTCGGTACGCTTGGCCTGTTAGTGTGTCGTGTGTCGTGTGTCGTGTGTGTCAGTGTCGTGTGTGTCGTGTGTGTCGTGTGTGTCGTGTGTGTCGTGTGTGTCATGTGTCGTGTGTGTCGTGTGTGTGTCACGTGTGTGCGGCGTTGACTGAGCGTGTGTCGTGTGTGTCCAGGCGAGGTGTACAACCTGGTGAGGCGGTGCGCTCCGGGGCCTGGCGAGCATCGGAACGTCAACCTGTTCGCGCAGCTCCTCCACCACTACGCGGCCAAGGAAGATGAACAGCAACAAGAAGAGGTCCAGAAAAGCGCAGATTGAAGACTGACGAGTATGCGATTTATCTTGGCTGTGTGAAGTCTTCCGAGTATGCCTTCACACACGACACACACGCCGCACGCGTGTTTCTCATTGTTGCTGCTGCTGCGGTTGCTGTTCCTCCTCTTCGTTGTCTTCGCCACCTTCGTCTGTCTCGTCTTCGTCGTCGTTGTTGTTGTCGGGTTCGTTGTCGCTGGCGGCGTTCCTCGCACCGCCGTGCTTGAAGATGGCCTCGAACACGTTGGCCCCGTGGCCACCCGTGATCACCTTGTACAGGTCCCCTGCAAATATTTACACTCTTCACTCAGCCTCGTGTCATGCGGTGTGTGCGTTGCGTGCGGCGTGTGCGGTGTGTGCGGGTGTGTGCGGTGTGTGCGGTGGGTGCGGTGTGTGAAGGCATACCGACGCTGAGGTTGTGTTCGACGACGAAGCGGTTGAGCTCGAGGAGCCAGTCCTCAAGGGTGCGGCCGGCGTACTTTTCGCCAAAGGTGAAGTACTCCATATCGCGCTCGGCCTGCGACGCGGCCATCATCTGCTGCACCGCCTTCAGCGACTTGTCCCCGCCGAACGCTGCACGCACGCGCGCGTGTGTCAGTGCGGTGTGTGCCGTGTGTGCGGTGTGTGTCGTGTGTACGCGTGCGTACCTCCGCAGCCCCAGTTCCCGGTGGCGAGCGGGTGTCCGGGGATGGCGTTCGTGGGGTCCCAACACGAACAGTACATCTTGTTCAGATCCCTGAAAAGAAAGAGCGAAAGAGAAGAAGTGAGCGAAAGAGCGAAAAGCGACGAAAAAAGCGAAAAGCGAAAAGGGTACCTGAGCAAGCTGGCGGGGAGCCACTGAATGTCGCCCCACGCGACGATGGCGTCGACCGCCACAATCACGTTGTCGATGTCGCCCTCCTCCGTTCTTTATATTTTAAAAAATTCGTGTTGGTCGCTGCCGGTTGCGTGCTGCGCGTGCCATGCGATGAGCAGTGGGCGCACCTCTTGGTGTCGACATAGTCGCCGCCGAAGGCCAGAGTGCGGGCGTAGCCCTGGTAGTCGCTGAACCGCTCCGCCCCGTGAATGAAGATCACCTCGTTATCCTCCATCACAGGACACAGCAGCCTGCGACCATTCACCACACGCGACACACACACACACACACAACACACACACAACACACAACACACACACACCACACCGTTAGGACCAAAATTCAGCAAAGCAGCTCCATGTGCCGTGCGTACATGGAGACCAGACACTCGGGCTTCAGTACAAACAGGATCTCCTCCTGAACACAGCCCTGTCCCATTGTCGTGAGTGCGTGTGCTGTGCGTGCGGTGCGTGTGCCGTGCGTGCGGTCGTGCGAGTGCGGTGCGCGTGTGCGGTGGCTTACCCTGCTGAGTACGCCGCCGCCAATGTATTTGTTGGCAAAGTCGGCGTGGAACGGGGTGTCGGCGTCCTCGATCTTGCCCCGGGGGTCGACCTTGATCGGGCGAATGGGGCGGGTGCTCTTGGCCCAGTTGGGCACGTCCCGCTTGCCCAGCACCTGGCGCCGGAACGTCACCTTGCCCGGCGGAACTGCGTCGACACTTGTTAGTCCGTGTGCGGTGTGTGCGGTGACGCGTGTGCGGTGTGTGCATGTGCGGTGTGTGCGACGGTCGCGTGTGTGGTGTGTGCGGGTGTGTGCGACATGTGCGGTGGTCGAGGCGTACTGGATTCGCTGAGACGGTCAAAGTAGTGGAGCACGGACTGTAGCTTGCCCACGCCGGGACCGAAGGTGGCGACGAACAGCATCTGAACGTCGAACTCTGCGCGTTTCCCCCTAAACGTAAGCGCACGACACACACACACGACACGCACACGACACACACGCACCACCGCACACGCATCATCGCACACACAACGTACCATGGAAGGCCTGCTTGGCGTAGAAGATGGGGCCGATCCACAACGCGCCCATAAACGAGCACGCCAGCAGGCACGCGCATTGTTCCTTTTTAAAAGAGAAAATAGAGAAAATAGAGAGAGAAAATAGAGGACTCCATGAATGGGCTGAGGACGGGCCAGACCGAGATCAGTGGTTGTCCAGGCGCACCTGCGTGAGTACGACTTTGTCGTTGCGCTGCTGCAGAAGGAGCGGCACGCGCTGGTCCACGGGGAAGAGCTCCGGCAGCCTGCAGTGCACAACATAAGCACCGGGACACACGACACACACGACACACACACGACACACACACGACACGCACGACACACACGACACGACACACGACATGAAGCTGGGCGGTGGGTACCGGAGGGCCAGGCGCTGAATGGTGGGGAGGATGACGTCGAAGAAGCGCTTGGCCTCGTCGCTGGGCTTGGAGTAGAACTCCTGAAAGAAGAAGCAGTGCACCTCGCGGCACGCCAAGTCCGCCAGCGCTGCATTTTAATTAAAATATCAGGAAAAAATGTATTTTGTTATTTATCTGTTGTTGAAAAAAAGAAAAAATTCCGTACGCCATCATAAAAACCAATAAATAATTACAAAATACAAAATACTAAATACAAAAGCACCTTTTTCGAATTGATCGACATCTTCAATCTTGCGCTGCAAGACGGCTTCGATGTGCGACCATCTTGGGCCTCTTCGAAGTCGACCGTTGCCTTCATCGCCAGAGCGATCGCCGGCGTCATCGGCATCTTCGAGATAGTGCGGGAAGATGACGTAGTTGTTGCCCTCGTGTTTGTTCCATTCCTCCTCCGTTATGGGCAGGTTCGACCGCTTTCCCTTTGCCTGATCCGTCGACGTCCAGTTCCCCATCTCTTCTGTTCTTCCTTCGCCTGTTCGTTGAGGAACGAAACCAGCACAGATCTTTCTTTTTTTCAGCTGCCCTGGAATGGAATGCGCACAGCTACTGCGGAATGTCTGTCCAAGAACAGTAAAATGTATGCAAATATCTCAAATTCTTTTTTGTTTAGTGAACATCACTGCGCACTGATGCTGGGTGTTGTAGTACTTGTGGGCTGCTGTTGCGGCTTCTGGAGAGGTGACGACAAGACCTGGCGACGAAGGGTGAGCAGAAGCTCCTCCAGGCCCTGACCAGTCTCTGCCGATACAGCGAAGCTGGGCGTCTGGATTCCCTTGTCCTTCAAGTACGCCTGCGCACAAGAGAATTCATAATAATTCATAAATAATCATAACAATAATAATTAGCAGAATAAGAATATTTGATAAAATAATAAATAAATAATAAATAATAATCAGGTACCTGGAAGTAGTCGAAGTTGGCCTGGGAGTTGGGGAGGTCCATCTTGTTGGCGGCGACCACGGATGGGCGGCTGGTCATGCCCGGCTGGTAGCACTCGAGCTCGAACCGCAGGGCCTCGTACTGCTCCACGGCCTGGTCCGTGCCCTTGCCCGAGAAGTCCAGCACATAGCACAGCACCTGCCATCACATGACACGTGCAAGTGGTTGAGCGTTTGTGTGGTGTATGCGTGTGCAATTGTGTGTGTGTGTGGTGTGTGTGTGCGTGTGTGTGTGTGTGCGTGTGTGTGTGGTGTGTGTGTGTGTGTGGTTTGTACTAACCTTGGTTCTTTCGATGTGACGAAGGAAGGCAAGCCCCAGCCCGCGGTTCTCGTGCGCGCCGTCGATGATGCCAGGCAGATCGGCCACCGTCATTCGCGTGTAGTCGTCGAACTCGACCACACCCAGCATCGGGAAGAGGGTCGTGAACGCGTAGCTGGCAATCTTCGACCGCGCTCGCGATATCGCGTTGAGCATCGTCGACTTGCCTGTTGAGCCTCATATTCATTAAGCTCCGCACACGCACACGCACCACCGCACATGCACACGCACAGCGTGTAGCTCGGAGGTACCTGCGTTGGGAAAGCCTACAAGGCCGATTTGGGCCAGCAGTTTGAGTTCCAGCTCGACCATCTTCTCCTCGCCGGCTTCGCCGTCCTGCGCGAACTTGGGCGAGCGATGTGTGCTCGACTTGAAATGCCGATTACCCCTTCACACCACACACACACACACACACACACGACAGTTGATCAAATGTAAGAGTGGAGCGAGGTGGAGGTAGCCGTCTGCGTACTTTCCGCCCTTGCCGCCTTTCGCCACCGTGATGCTGTCACCGTCCTTCTCCAGGTCTGCCAAGACCACCACCTGCCGTCGTCGCACAACAACAACAACGATCAGAAATTGTGTGGAAAATGGCAAAGAAAAGAAATAGTATGCATGCGCGATGGAGTGGTGGAGTGTACCTCCTCGCCCGTGTCCCTTTGCAGAGGAAGCTGCTTCACCACCGTCCCACCGGCACTTTGATCGTGAACAGCTCGCCCGTCTTGCCGTGCATGTTGCTTCCTCCCGGTCGACCGCTCTCGGCCTGGAATAGTCCACGTGAGTGCGTGTGCGTGTGTGTGCGTGGTCGTGTGTGGTGTGTGACGAGGCTTACTCGAACTGAGCCGCCCACGTTGCCCAGGTTGCGCTCCTCGGACGTCGCCATCACGATGACGTCTCCGCCTGTCCAAGCAAACAGTCAGCGGCCGATGAGACATGTGAATGAAGCAGCAGCAGCGGGATCGGCACAGTACCCGGGCCGCCGTCTCCGCCCTCGGGCGGTCCCTCCGTCACCCGATTGTCACGGAAGAAGGCCACGCAACCGTTCCCGCCATCGCCAGCCTTCACTCGCACTCGGATCCGATCAATAAACCTGTTTTTATTCTACAAAAAAATACAAATTAATATGAAACCATTAAAACAATGTTAATTCGTTACCAATAAAATTAATAAATTAAATAAATTAAATAATGTGCAAATAAATGTTGATTAATTGGATTAATGAATTGGATGGAGATTTTGGTGCGATCTTGGGGAGGTACGTCGTGCTGCTTCTTTTTCGACTCTGTGGTGGGCTTGTCGGGCCGTAGCCACACGGGGTCTTCGCCGCGGCGAGTCGATGCGGTCGGGTATCCGCTCGCGTAGAGCCGCGGCAGTCCCATCCCCTTTGCCGCTTCCGCCGTGCTCCTCCCCATGAGCAGCACTGTAGCGCGCTGCGCCCTCGTGCCCTGCAGCAGGGTCTGCACTCCTACTCCGCCCCATCTGTGGCTCGTTCGCATCACCATCTCAATTTCTTTTTGTAAATATTCTTTTTCTCCTTTTATTTATTTATTTAATTTTGCTGCTAGCCGCGAATGAACTGATAGCAGTCCGACTGCACCTCTGGTGTGTTCGTCTGCTTCGGTTTCGAGATCTGATGTCATGTTGAGTGCAAGTGAGTGGTGCTAGAGGTCGAGGTTGCGTGTGTGTGCGGTGCCGTGTGCCGTGTGCCGTCGCGTGTGTGAGTGTGTCGTGTGTCGTGTCGTGTCATGAGTACCTTGATGTAGACGTGATCGCCGATGATCTTGACGGGGTGGACCCGTTGCTTTACGCCCTTGGACTTGACGCCCCCGATCATTCCCATGTACAGGCCCTCGCCCGTCTCCAACGCAATCCTGCAGCGAAGCCCCACCGACATTGTTCGCCGATGAGCACACACGAACACATGACACACGACACACACGCACACACGCCAGAGAGTGGTCAGGGTACCGGTAGGAGTGGAGCGGACATCGCACGGCGAGTCGTCCCCCGAAGTCCTCGATGTCGCCCCTCATCAGGCCCCCGCCATTGTGATAGCACCAACTAATTTGATTTTTTAATATATCAATAAAAACAAACAAATAATAAAGATTGGCAAGGTGGATTGTTCCTACTAATAGATAAATAAATAGATAAATAGATTAATAGATAAATAGATAAATAAAAAGTACCTGTCCAGGGCGTAGATGTGGTCGTCTTGGTGGAAGAAGGTGACGCTGCGCTTCTCGACCTGGAGGCACTTCCACTTGCGGCTGGGCGCCGCCTTGACCTCCGCCACGCTCGCAGCCCGCACGTAGCCCTCCGCTTCCGCCTTGCTCCTCTCCTCCGCCTCGTCGCTTTGCTCTCCAGAGGGGAGCTGCACCGCGCAAGCAGCATTGATTTCATCGCCGTTGCCTCGACCCTCACCCGTTGCTTCCATGGCCTGTCGTGCAATAAAGAGACAAAGAGATGATGATGATGAAGATGTCAACTACGCCACTCCGCGCACTTTGTTCCTCATCCTTCGTTTTTTTTTTCACATTATGATTTTCTTCGCCTTTTTCTTTGTCCACTTTTCGGTTGCCTTTTCTTTTCTTTATAATTCAAAAAAGAAACGTTGGTAGAGGGTCACAGCAAGCCACACACCATTCCTTTGCACCGGCCATGCTTGAAGAAGAAGAGACCACCACCATAGAGAGCCCCAGGACAGAGGAGGCCGCAACTGCCACCACCAAGCCACCTGGTGCCGCCAAATCTGAAACAAATATCTTTTATTTGAGTAGTACTAATTTTTCACCCCACCCTGAACACTGACAGACGTGGCCACCGAGTCAGAGCAACCCTTTTCGGTCGAGGAAGACGTGAGCCGCAAGGGTAACCCACTCTCCTCCCCTTGGCTCTTTTCTTCGTCTTCTTTTCATTCGTTGAGACGTTAACATGTTCACGCCATCGCACCAATGGCTAGCAAGCAAGCAAGCAAGAGACTGACAGTACACTGTGTTCGACGCCGCGCGGTGCTCCGCAGTGTTGCCGCCCGCGGTGCGGCCGCGATGGGTGCCGGACGAGGAGGAGCCGGCGTGCTACTGCTGCCAGACGCCCTTCAGCTTCCTCCTGCGCCGACACCACTGCCGCGGCTGCGGCCACATCTTTTGTCACCCGTACGAGCCTTAGCGTCTCGTGTGTGTTGTGTGGCGTCGTGTGCCGTGTCGTGTTGTGCGTGTTGTGTCGCGTTGTGCGAGTGTTGTGGCTTTTGCCTGAAGAAGTGCAATGCGTGTCGCAGGTGCACGGACTGGTGGCTGCTCCCGCCCGCGGAGCTGGAGTACGACACGGTCCAGCGATTGTGCGAGACGTGCTTCAGCCGCCTCTCCTCGGTCGAGTACTCCCGCACCTACGACGCCTGGGGCAACCCCGAAGATCCCGTACGCCCGAGAGCGCACCACGACACGACACGACACGACACGACCAACGACACGACCAACGACACGACCAACGACACGACCAACGACACGACCAACGACACGACCAACGACACGACCAACGACACGACCAACGACACGACCAACGACACGACCAACGACACGACCAACGACACGACCAACGACCAACGACACGACACGCCGCCAATAGGCGATCGTGATGATCCACGGCGCGTCAGGAACGCGCAGAAACTGGGCTCTTCTCGGCCCAGCGCTGGCGCAGGTGCATATCCTTGGCATTTCTCGCACCATGCTTGCGTTCCACGTGGCACTTTGGCTGACGCGTTGCCACGTGGATAGCGAGGGTACTACGCCATTTCGCTCGACATGCCCGGACACGCCTCCCGGTACCGCGAGAAGCTGACCATGGACTCTGGTACGCTCTCTGGGCCGCTCGCCTCCAGGCCTGCGGAAGGCTCATGACACACGCGGCACACACACGACACGCACACGCACACGCGCAGCTATGGAGGCGATTGCCGAGGCCGTGAACAACCTGGTTCCCTCGAAGCGCGCGTTCGTGATGGGCGGTTCGATGGGCGGATATATCGCCATGACCTTTGGCGCGCGCCACCTCGACATGTGCAGGTACGGCCATGACTTACGCACACCTGCTACCACACGGCACGCACACACCCACGCGCACACCACACACGACACGCGATGCACTGCGTAACTGGTGTAACATTAGGGGCTTGATCATTGGACAAACGGGCACGGACATGAAGAACAGCAGGACGATGCTCAACTGGATGACGCGCTACTACAAGCTCGTGTCCCGCAAGTACGCTGCCACCCACCCAACAACGCGCACGCGCACACGCACACGCACACGCACACGCACACGCGCACTCACTGTCGCACACGACGGACGCGGTAGGACCAAGGCTACGCTGGTAAAGCAGTTCCACAAGTCCTATCCCCTCTATGCCCAGGTTGAGGACGAGGCCATGAACGAGCTCTTCCTCCGAACAGGCGTCTTCCTCGACTGCTGGCCCGACATCGTGGTACCACATTTTTTTTTTGAATTATTATTTTTATATTTCAACATACTAAAATAAATTAACAAGAAATATGATAAGTTCGTGTCTTTGTCTCTTTTTATATAAAAATATATACATGGAAAAAAACTCGCATTTATTCGCTATGTGTCCAACCTGAGTACAGGAGTTGATGGCCGGCGAGGACTACGACGAGCACATGAAGTCGGTGGGCGACCTGCCGGTGCTGTTCATCAACGGCGAGATCGACTTCAGGGAGGCCGAGATGAAGTGGCTCAACGCCGCCAAGAACGGCCGCCTGGAGGTGCGTGTGGCTCAGCTCGCGTGCACGCAGCCGAGGATGGAGGGGGTTGAGGAAGAAGAAGAAGAGGACGCACGACAGACGAGGGTAAGGAAAGGCAATTATGACGCCTTTTCGTCTTCTACTTTTTTGTGGCCGAGGAAGTGGAACTTTGGCAGAAGTTGGCAACATCTGATTTGCGGGATCAGAAGCAGCCCGCACAGAAGCCAACAAGCTAATCGAGCTGTGTTTTTACACAGCTTAGCTGCACAATCACAGATAAATGGGATCATCCGTGGCGAAGGCACTCAGGGACGATTCGGACAGCGACGAAGATGATCGCGTAGGGGATAACGTGCTGGAGGACATGAACGACAAGCTGGCGCACACGACCGAGAGCTTGGCGGAGGCGATGGAGCGCAGACGCAAGGAGCAGGTAATCACTGATACGCGAAGGGCAGGCGAACGCATGCGCAAGAAGTACCATCTCGACCACAAGCAGGACACGCGCGACGATGACTCTGAAGACAGAGACAGAAAGGCAAAGAAGAACAAGAAGGTGAAGACGCACTCTGGATCCACAAAATCGACATCACACCACGATAATCCGAGTCCCAAGAAGAAATCGGAGGAGGTAGACGCGGAAGCGCAAATGAGAGAGGAGCGGCGACGGGATGATGTTGAGAGAAACAAGAAGGTGGCCGAGCGAATGCGACAGAAGTACGCTCGCAGTTAGCCATTTTGTGCATTAATCAAAAATAAAATGAAAAATCAAAAGAGAAATCCACCTCAAGTGCCGACAGTAATCCATAGTTTTACCGCCAGGCAAACACTACACGAAAGATGAACCGCACCGCCTCTGTTTCTCGCACCGCCTTCACTGTCGCCGCCAGGCAAACCACTGGTAAGCACACTAAGCATGTTCTCTTGTTAGCATATTGCACGACATGGACTGGATCAACCAGATGCAATGCAATTTTGATCGAGATATTAATGAATTGTACGCTCGCAGTGCGCGGCAGCCAGGCTCTCTTCGCTCGCTCCTACGCTGTGGGCCAGAACCTGCTCGAGGGCCAGGCCAATTTGAAGGCCGTTGATGGTAAGGACCTGTCGCTCACCGATCTCTTCAAGGGCAAGAAGGTACACACCCCTCAATCTCAATTCGCCACTCAAAATCGTTGGTGACCTACCTCGGATTGTTCAATCAGGTTGTGGTGTTCGGTCTCCCCGGCGCCTTCACCCCCGTCTGCACCAGCAGGCACGTTCCCGGCTACGTCGACTCGGCCGACAAGTTCAAGGCCAAGGGCGTTGACAACGTCGTCTGCGTGTATGCCTTCCCCTCAGCCTCGTCCTGCTCGCTCTCTTCACAGCTCTGGCCTCACACCACGCGTCTCTGTTTGCAACATAACAGGTCGGTGAACGATCCCTTCGTGATGAAGGCGTGGGGCGAGTCGCTCAAGGCCAACAACATCACTCTGGTGGCCGACTGGGACAGCTCCTTCACCAAGCTGGTCGACAAGGAGCTCGACCTCAGCGCTGCCGGTCTCGGCAAGCGCTGCAGGAGGTACTCGCTCATCGTTGACAATGGCAAGATCGTCAAGGAGAACATCGAGAACGCCCCCAATGAGTAAGTGCCACCTTGCTCTCTTCCTCGCCCCTTTCGAGAAGAAGAAGAAGTCTTGCTTGAGTCCTCCTGTCAGTACTGACTCGCTTCGCGCTCTGGCTCGTTCTACTCAGCCTCCAGGTGACCTCCGCCGAGGCTGTCTTGGCTCAGCTCTAAGTTTTCAACACCTGCGACAAGCTCGCAGAGCGTGCAACGAGCCTTCCCCCCCAGCTCTACAATAAAGCGTCGATGCTGACGTTTGCATCAACTTCTCTCTTCTTGCTGGACACAACCTGGCCTGCAGGCCAACGGAAGTAGTTGGCGCTGTTTTTTTTTTCACTTCTTTTTATTACTCTTCTCATCTCGTGTGCAGGCCATGGACGCTCCTCTCCACTTCAAGGTCGAGACCTACGAGGACCGCGGCAATCATCCTTGGTACGTTCACTACCATTACGCCCCCCCGCACAAGGTGAAAGCGCTAATCTGTAGCTCGCCATCTTTTCTCCCCAACAACAAAGGGTGCGCAAAAACTACGAGCTTGACGTGCCACGGACGGCAACGGTGCGCGAGGCGCTCGCTCTGTTCCGTGCGAATGGTGCCCCGAGCTGGATGAGCGACCAGAAGCTCGCTCAAGGTAACCCACCCACCCTTTAATAGAAGACAAAGCTCTTGCTTCCTTCAAAGTAGTGACCACGCAACCTTGTACGCAGAGCTTGGCCTGCACATTCCTCGCTCGCTCTCTTCGCGTCCGTCGCTATCGCCGGGGGTTGACGACTCACCACCCATCGCAGACGACGTGCTCGACAGCAAGGTCGTCGACGTACGTTTCCTGACCTACACCTCGTCTGCACTTGTTTGGAATATCCGACCTCTCTCTTGTGTCGCCATTACGGACATTGACTTGGTTTGTTTGTCTCTCCAGTGTGGCTTGTGTGAGCGTAAGTTCACCTTCAGTAGCAACCGGCCCAGAGGCTTTGGTGTTTACGACTAGCGTGGATGTGCCCGTGTGTGCGGGCGTGGTGGCCACAGTCGAGGTTCGCCGAATTGTAGCCTGCAACAATAAATGAATCATAAACACACCAGCATTACGCGATCGCTGTGCAGGTAATGGACGCTCCTCTCCACTTCAAGGTCGAGACCTACGAGGACAACGGCAACCGTCCTTGGTGCACAACGGCCGATGATGCTGCCGAAGCTTCATCCCCTTCACCGTGAAGAGCCCTAATCTGTTTTGCTCTCCATCTTTTCATCTTTTCTCCCCAACAACCAAGGGTGCGCAAACAGTACGAGTTTGATGTGCCACGGACGGCAACAGTGCGCGAGACACTCGCCCTGTTTCGTGCCAACGGTGCCCCAAGCTGGATGAGCGACCAGAAGCTGGCTGAAGGTGACCTAGGAAGTGTAGACGAAGAAGAAGCTCCTGCCTCGTTCTTCACAAGTCAAGGTTGACCTCACTGACCTTTTCTTGGTTGTTTTGTGCACATCAGAGCTTGGCCTGCGCATTCCTCACCAGTTCTATTCGGGTCCGCCGCTGCCGCCTGGGGTTGACCGCTCGCCACCCATTGCAGACGACGTGCTCAACAAGAACGCTGTTGCCGTACGACCTTCTCCACTACACCGTTTGGCATGCATCAATGTTGTACCTCAGCTGATTGGTTTGCTTGTCTCTGCACAGTGTGGCTTGTGTGAGCGTGAGCGTCAGTTCACATTCAGTGTCTACACTCCAAAATTCTGTGACTGACCATCTACCAAGCACCATGCAGCAACAACAAGGGCATAGAGGTTGCAGGTTGAATGAATGATCAAACAAATAAAGCCTTGTTTGTTTGTAGCCTCAGTTTTATCTCCAGGAATGTGAGGTATGCATGAGGTGAAATTAATTGCTGTGAAATTAAAACAATAAGCTGTTTATTATCATAATTTTGCGCCGTTGCCCTTGTGGCGGGCGATAGCGCAGACAGAGAACAAGAAGACAAGCCCGAACCCATCCTTCGGTTTCTCTTGTTCGTCCTCTCTTGCTTGGACGGAACTACACAAGAAGCGCAAAAAAGAGGTGCAAAAGTCGTCTTTGTTCATCGATCCCTCCCTGCTGCCTTACTTTTGTTGTATTATTATTTTCTTTTACGGCCGAGGGGGCTTTTGCGATGAGGAGAGACTGATCTGGATGAATGGATGGATGGATGGATGGATCGCCTCCAGATGTCAAAGTCGCCAGCGGTACCGCGCACGGGTTCGCTGCCCATGCCTGGCATGACCGCGGGTCCCACCCCCGTCAGGCAACTTGTACTCCCCCCCCCATCAACGCCTCCCCAACTTCGAGGCCTCACGCTGCTGCTGCGCGACCAGGCCGCGGCCCAGCAGGCGGCGGCCTGCGTCGAGTTCCAGGCGCCGCCGGCATGGCGCAAGAAGGGCGACGGATGCATGCGCTGCGGGCAGCCGCCCAGCGAACACGCCGGCACCGGCGGGAAGCAGCCGAAGAGGTTCGTCTCACTCGCGAGCCCGTGTGTTGTCTGGGTGCCACTGAGTGCACTTGTCCGTGTGCGGTTCGGTTAACGACTGATGCGTGTCGTGTGTCGTGTGTCGTGTGTCGTGTGTGCGATTGCAGCGAGAAGAAGAAGGTGGAGAAGGAGAAGAAGGTGGAGAAAGACAAAGAGGTGAAGAAGGTCGATAGGGACAAGCCCAAAGAGAGCGGTACGCGGACGCACGACACACGTATGACACGACACGCACACGACCGCACACGCACACACGCCTGTGTTCATCACCGCAGTGAGGCTGACATGGCGCGCGCAGTTCTATCGAAGCTGCCGGCCAAGGTCCAACCGTCGGACCTGTCGGGCGTGGCGCTGAAGCCCATCTCCGCGCGTTCGGCGCTGCCGCTCCCGCCCAGCCGCGGCTCGTCGTCGCCGTCGCTCTCCAGCCCCGGCGGCGGCCAGCTGTCATCGTCGCCCGGCGGCCTTCCGCCATCGACCCTCTCGGCCGGCTCCCCCACGGTCCCCACCAAGGCGCGTACCTACACCGAATCGAGCACCACCTCGGCGCCCAACACGCCCATCTCGCCCCGCATGCGCGGCAACTCCAACCCGTTCCTGGCCAACAGCTCGCCGCCGGCCTCCCCGCGCAGCAGCTCCTTCTCGTCGCCACACGCGCCGGCCGTGTCGTTCTACGCCACCTCGCCGCCGCCGCAACCGAGCGGCTCGTCGTCATCGGCGCCCACGAGCAGGGAGCTGCCGGCCACGGTGTCGCTGGGGTCGTCCATCTCCTCGTCCCTGTCCACCAATGATGTGGTCATCCACGACAAGCTCTCCAACTCCGGTGGGCCGCAGAGCCCCGTACGCCCCGCCGCTCTTCGCTCTTTTTTTTTTCGCTTTTCGCTCTTTTATTCTTTTTGTTTATTTTTTTTTCTCCCTAACAATTCTCTCCTTTGTCGGATGCGACCCAAACAACAGACCAAGGCCGGGATCATCCCTGTGCAGTACGGCTTCCTATTTATATTTAATTAATTTATATTTATTTTAAAGAATTTGCGCTAATGCGTGTGTGTCGCGTGTCGTGTATGGCTGGTGCAGGCCGGGTAAGTTGTCCGCGTTCATCTCCAGCCAAGCTACAGCCGAGCTATGTACGTGCACCGCGCAATAACTGCCTTTATCATTTTCCTGAGCTCCTGGTCATTGCGCTCATTTCTCTGTCATCAGCCAAAGGCCAGACGAAATCGTCGCCCAAGACCGAGGAACCCCGGCCCTCCCGGCGTTCCGTTCTCGACAAGGTACGCATCACAGCCATATCCGTGTACATATTTTTTAAAACTATTATTTATATAAACAATATGAATGTACATAGATATCATTTCATTGATATGTTCACACGCTTTATTGTCGTATATATGACTATCACTCACCTGACGCGTACACAGAAGAAGACAAAGACGCTGCCTTCGCTCGATCAGGCCATGCTCCAGTCACAGATCAACGACCCGGTACGCTTGCCCCATCGTGCCAGGCAGGGCGCGCGCGCGTGTGTGTGTTTGTGTGTTCGTGTGTTCACCCAACTCCACCACCAGTACGGCATGGGCGTGTCGACCTATTTCCGCACGATGAACAATCTCCTGCACGCCCTGGAGCTCAAGGACGACGCCATCCACCAAGTCGGTAATTGTCTAAATTCCCCCAAAGCGCTCCTCGCTCAAATCGATTGAGGCCGGCGCCCTCATTCTTTTGTGCTTCTCTCTCTCTCTCTCCCTCTCTCCTGTGCGTCGTGTGTGTCATGTGCGCACATGACAGAGGACCTGATCACCAGGCACCGATACATTCCCTCGCTGGAGGAGAAGAAGCTGATGCAGCCCATTCCGCTCCAAGCCCAGAACAGGCTCGTACGTAGGGCCTCTCGGCCGTGTCTCGTGCGTGTCGTGAGGCATGTCGTGTGGCGCGTGTCGTGCGCACTCACACTCTCTTTCCGCGCGATCCACCGCAAATGCAGGAGAAAGTGGTGGAGGACTTGACCGAGTTCATCAAGGTGCAGCACAGGCTGCGGCAGATCATCAAAATTCAGGCCGTCACCCGCGGCTACCTCGCACGCAAACAATTCAAGGAATTCAGTACGCAGCAGCCCCGTCCCACGCCGGGCCGGGCCTGTGCGTGCCTCAAATTTCTCATATGTGTGTGTCGTGTGTGTCGTGTGTGGTATGTCGTGTTGCGCAGGCGAGCTGTACGTTCGAGGCCCGCTCAAGGCGCGTAACGAGGCCTTCAAGGAGCTGCTCAGGCGAGAGAAGCAATACGTCGCCAACCTCCAGCTGATCGTAAAGGAGTACATGAAGCCGCTGAAGGAGAACACCAAGGGCTACAGGGCCTTGTGCACCGACAAGGAAGTGATGACCATCTTCGGCAACGTCGAGGCACTCACCCCCCCCCGCAATTTAATTATTTTTTGATCGAAAGTCGACGTCGCACACTCATTGGCTCAGGGTTGATCGATTGTTTAATTGGCTGACGAGTTGGCATGTCCGCAGGCGCTGCTCACGGTCCACAGCGAGATGCTGCACCAGCTGGAGATCATCCAGGGCCGGTGCCCCCAGTACGACGGCCTCGGCGAGGTCTTCCTCACCATGGTACGCCCCGTAACTAAATTCTCGTTTTATTTATTTTACAATATTAAAATTACAATTCATAATATTACCCTTCATTTTTATTGAAAAAAAGAATATAATTATTGATGAATTAATAATTATTAACACATTTTTTGGGTCGTTCTGTGGGGCTAAAAACCAGGCACCGTTCTTCAAGGCCTATGGCGACTATGTAAATAATTTCCAGAACGGAGTCAACACGCTCCTGGAGTGCAAGGAAAAGGATAGGTTTGCGTCGTTCATCGACGAGGTGCGCACCCGGCAATGCTATGGTCGCGCAGAAACGACGCTCCACCGCACACGCACACGAGCGCTCATGAATTCGTGGAATGTTCAGATCTATGTCGAGCTTCAGAAGCGAAATGTGTATGTGGACCTGCACGGCCTCTTGTCCACGCCGCTCAACCACATCGCCGGCTACGAGACCCTCATCATGGTACGCCCACTTGCTCTTCCTGTTTCACGCCGTTGATGCTGACGTGTTCCGCGTGCGTGCGTGCCATGT